ATAAACTTTAAATTCTGTTGACAACTATCTAACAATTATAACTCCTGTGAAGTTTGGTCAAAATCTTCCTTCTGATTTTTCGAAGATATGTTGAAATTGTGTATAATGCTGAACATCATGCAGTCACAAAAACTCATCTCTACATACCAAATTTATGATCAATGAAATGAGTACAATAACAAATAACTTTTAAAACCATTACACATATGCTAAATGCATATTAAGCAAAAGTGATAACACAATCTTAAAACTGTTCTAAAAATAGAACAATTTGACTGTACAAGAAAGCAGTACATACCATTTGCATAGCATTTATTTTAGTTCGAGAAAGAGGTTTGATAAGCATGTTTCATCATCATCAAGCATGTTATACTTTTTATAGTAATTCAAATTTTATAATTTTTTTAACATAATTATGTTCTTCAAGAATTTTCTGAAATGTGCGTGAAACTGTACAAGTATATTGTAAGAGCAGAAATCTTGGATTACAACTTATACAAAAAGAATCAAAGCTAGGGAATTTAAAAAGATAAGAAAACATTATCTGGACAGAGTAGTATGCTCATTATAAATTTGATAAAAAAACAAGAGCTGTCGGTAGGACAGCAACGCTCGACTATTCTTAGTGCTTGATAGTAAAAAAAATGCCTGATACAGTTACCTCCTCCTGTTTACAGGTTGGGGTCATGATGGTGAACAAGTGTGCAAAGTTTCAAAGCCATATGTCAATGGACTTTGAAAATATTTGAACTATTACAAAAACTTTAACGTAAATTCTAAGTCGAAAAAGGGGCATAATTCTGTCAAAATGCTTGATAGAGTTACCTCCTCCTGTTTACAGGTTGGGGTCATGATGTTGAACAAGTGTGCAAAGTTTCAAAGCCATATGTCAATGGACTTTGAAAATATTTGAACTATTACAAAAACTTTAACGTAAATTCTAAGTCAAAAAAGGGGCATAATTCTGTCAAAATGCTTAATAGAGTTACCTCCTGCTGTCTACAGGTTGGGGTCATGATGTTGAACAAGTGTGCAAAGTTTCAAAGCCATATGTCTATGGACTTTGAAAATATTTGAACTATTACAAAAACTTTAACGTAAATTCTAAGTCGAAAAAGGGGCATAATTCTGTCAAAATGCTTGATAGAGTTACCTCCTCCTGTCTACAGGTTGGGGTCATGATGGTGAACAAGTGTGCAAAGTTTCAAAGCCATTGTCAATGGACTTTGAAAATATTTGAACTATTACAAAAACTTTAACGTAAATTCTAAGTCGAAAAAGGGGCATAATTCTGTCAAAATGCTTGATAGAGTTACCTCCTCCTGTCTACAGGTTGGGGTCATGATGGTGAACAAGTGTGCAAAGTTTCAAAGCCATATGTCAATGGACTTTGAAAATATTAGAACTATTACAAAAACTTTAACGTAAATTCTAAGTCGAAAAAGGGGCATAATTCTGTCAAAATGCTTGATAGAGTTACCTCCTCCTGTCTACAGGTTGGGGTCATGATGGTGAACAAGTGTGCAAAGTTTCAAAGCCATATGTCAATGGACTTTGAAAATATTTGAACTATTACAAAAACTTTAACGTAAATTCTAAGTCGAAAAAGGGGCATAATTCTGTCAAAATGCTTGATAGAGTTACCTCCTCCTGTCTACAGGTTGGGGTCATGATGGTGAACAAGTGTGCAAAGTTTCAAAGCCATATGTCAATGGACTTTGAAAATATTTGAACTATTACAAAAATTTAACATAAGTGGTTACGCCGACGCCGACGCTCGGGTGACTGCAATAGCTCTACTTATTCTTATCGAATAGTCGAGCTAAAAAGGAAAAGAAAAAAAGAAACCAAAAAGGCAGGAAAAGTTAGTTATAAATTGGAAAAGTAGATATAATACTAAGATAATCATTGGTTTTATATTAAAACAAGACTTTGATCATTTCAACAAAAGTGATACAGGATAATGCAAACTTGTACTGGGTGAAAAAACATATCGCCAAATATTGAAAGGATTAGGTTGATAATCATATAAAAAGTAGACAACCAAGTAAAGAAAAACTTATTGAGTAATATAACATGAAAATAAATTGCCAAAATAACGATAATAATTTTATTAGTTCATGTAGAAAGCAAATTGCCAAATATCTTGAGTACATGAATGTGAGAAGTGAATTATAACATCTAAGATTAAGTTCATGAAAAAGAATATGGTCAAATATCTAGGTTAAATTTACTTACTAAGCAAATTACCAAATATATGAAAAAGGTTTATCTAAAAAGCTGGATGAGACAAATGTTCAGTGGAAACCAGTCTGCCAAATATCTAGATAAAACTCATATGGGAACCAGTCTGCCAACTATCTAGGATTAGCTCATGTAAGAACCAGTCTGCCAAATGTCTAGATTAAGCTTATGTGGAAACCAGACTGCCAAATGTCTAGATTCAGTCTGCTATATATTTAGGTTTCACCTCATGTGGAAAGCATATAGGCAAGTAAATATTGGAAGCAAAATATTAAATATACGGGCAAAGTTCCTGTTAAAGTAAGGGGAAGTAAGTTTTAAAATATCCTTTGTAAGTTCATAGGAAAAGCAAATTGCCAGATAATGAGGGAAATTTTATGTGGAAACTGCTCAGTAAAAATAAAGAGGGTAGGATGTGAATTGCTAAATAGAGACAAGATGTTTAAAGCTTATGAGCTGCGTCACGACAAAACCAACATAATGGGTTTGCGACCAGCATGGATCCAGACTAGCCTGCGCATTCGCGCAGTCTGATCAGGATCCATGCTGTTCGCTATCAGTTTCTTTACTTGTTATAGGGTCTGTAAGCGAACAGCATGGATCCTGACCAGACTGCGCGGATGCACAGGCTGGTCTGGATCCATGGTGGTCGCAAACCCACTATGTTGGTTTTGTCGTGACACGGCTCATATATAGTTTATTTGTGAAATAAATTACATGTAAATTAACATTGAAGCTAAAAAGAATAGTGATAATAGATTGTTTTTTTTATTGTGTTAATTTTATATATAGAAATAATGAAATTATCAATTATTTAGAAGAGCTTTAAATGATATATATAATGACAGATTTCCAAATATTAAGAAGAGTTATAAATAATATGTTTGATAGCAAATTGTCAAACTATTGAAATTAATTAGCTAGTAGTAAAGAAGATTACAGGATCAAATATTAAGGATGAATATACATGTATATTTGATGCTAGACTTCTTATTATTGAGTATGACTATATTATGGTTGGTTGCCAATTATTTCCAGAAGGACTATATATTGAATGGTAGGTAGCCAACTATTATGAATTTGATGGTAGGAAGCCAAATATTTAGGATGAATTTATATTTGATTGTGAGTTGCCACTTATTTGCAAAAAGACTATATATTTGATGGTAGATTGCCAATTATTGAGTAATAGTTGGCATTACCAAGTGGTCTGGTAATATAAGGATTTCTAGCAGTGTGGGTTCAAACCCTGTCAGGTATAAGTCATAATGTTTCCCTGAGCAAGAAACTTTACACTCATTATTTAGTACTAGTTGGTTCCAGAATCAGAGTCTATAAGCTTTTAACTTCCTACACAATCTAACTAAATTTATTCTGTATAAACTAACTATTGTGTATTCCTATATAAACCATGTTAATTGCCAATTATTGCAGATGAAATTGAAGGTAGTTTGCTGAATGTTTAAGGTAAATATGTTTGTATCATAGTTTGGAGACATTTCTGTGGAAAATGTGTCAGAGTTAAATGGTATACAGAAATATCATATTTAGATGCTCGTTCATTGGTTTACTTTTTCCCAGGGTTTCATAAAAATTATTGTGACAACAGGGAACGTGTTTTTATGTTTGATTATGATACAAAAGAGAAAGAACATCAAAACACTCTGCAATCTGATTAATACTCGGGGGCTATGCCCCCTCGTACAAATCAGATCATCCTGTGTTTCGATGCTCTTTCTATTATATATTTGATGGTAGATTGCTAAATATGAGTATGAATTTGAAGGTAGTTTTCCAAACATTTAAATAGATATATATTTTATGGTAGAATGCCAATTATTATGATGTTATTATGGTAGGTTAATTATCATTAGTTTGATTGCAGTTTGCCATTCATTATGAATTTGATTGTAGTTTGCCAAATATCTAGGATTATTAAATATTTTGCTTATTATTTAATTTGACTATATCTGAAGTGGTATGCTTAAATGGTTTTATAGTGCACAGGACATGGATTTGTGTGAATTAAATGGGCTATTGAGATGAATGACAGGTTACAGACTGGAGTATTTATTTCTATCCTTAAAGCGACCTTCAGCTTTCAATTTTTGTTAAGAAAACAATTATTCTGTGTTGTTTCAAACGAAGTATTTCAGTAATTTTATCTTGAAAAAGTGCATTATATCACGTTTAAGCCTTCTTCAAAACAGCGTCCCAAGAGCACATAACACATAAGTGACGCTCGTTTCTAACAATAGAAGGTTGGGGAAACAATACCTCCGCATTACTGATTTAAATATAGAGTAAAAACTGGTATTTTAGAGGTAGCGTAAGGTTTTCTTAAGGTTTATGTATTTTATTGTCTGTAAATTTCATTTTCCACCTTTACATTCTTTGAAACAATTAATTTAAAAATAACATTTAACCTTTAGAAAAGCTGAAGACCACTTTAATACAATGAAATCATTTTATAAGCACATATAAATTTGAGCTAAACATAATATTTTTTACCCAAAAACAACCTAAAAATCGAAATTTACCTTAAATAGATTCATAAAAGAAGGGAAAAAAATCAAACTTTAAAATGATTTCAGAGTAAGAGAAATATTTTTGTTAAGTAAAGTCCAGACTGACATGCATACAGAAAAAGTTGAACCGAATAACCCAGGGATATTACTACAGCACTAGGTAAAACTGAGGATGCTATTATAGTAACAGTGCTCCTTTCGAAATACATGCACTGCGGAAATCTATACCTTAGAATTGGATTCTCTCGGCAAAATTGACTCAAATATGGTTCTATTCCTGTTATGAGCATCAATATCAACGAATATCACGGACCATGATGCCCCCTGGTCGCCAAACAAATTGACGCCATTAATCGCCTCTAACGCTGCCTTTGCGATACCTATTGAACTGAAATTTGACACAGGAAGTGTTAAAAATTTGTTATGACAACATGTACTTTTATATGGGTTTCTATGACAACTACATGCTACTGAAAACAAACAGATCTCCAAGAAATTAGCACTTTAAAAAAAAAAAATGTGCAACCATGTTAATTTTTATCAATTTTCCACTGGTTACAAACTGTGATCTAAATAACATTGTAAACCAATGAAAATGATTGACTGTGATTCTTTTCTGAGTTTGTGAGCAGACATAAAATGTTACAAGATCTGTTTAATATTCAGTTGCACAAGGTGACACGAAATTCCATTCAAACCATTACAATACCTTTGAGTTGGATTCCCTAGGTAACAACTCATCAAAAATAGTTCGGTTTCTATTATGTGCATCAAAGTCGCAAAATACGACAGACCAATATGCACCGCTGTCGCCAAATAGATTGACACCATTTATTGCTTCTAATGCAGCCTTTGCCATTCCTATAGAACTATAAACAAAGAGTTTTTCATTCCGAATTTAAAATAAATCTATCACATGCTTTTTACCAGCAACTATCTTATTTTTACCCCGTCTTTATAATTCTTATATAATTGGTAACATACTTTTTACGAGGAAGTATATATTTTTTCTACCCCGCCTCCATAATGTTGGTAAAGGATAATGGTATATAAAGGGAATTGCTACAGACACTAGTTATGCTATGCTTCCTCATCATTTGTTGATCTCCCCAACAAATCTTGGTCGTGATTTTCATCCATTTTTTTTTTTCATAGAAGGATTTATAGAGTATCAAGGGAGGTAACCAGAGTCACAATTTAAAATTTACAAATCATGAATGGAGGTAAAAAAGGATCCACAAAGTGGGACAATGACGTTTGTTGTGAAATTATTATAAGTTAAATACTGAAATAAACTTTCACCCTGATGCAAATCACTAAAGTATAATTTATCCCAATTTGAGATAAGCTATAACTTTACTGCACAATTTATAGATTTTCCTGAATTCTTTCCTCTCTGTTGAACCAACATGTTAGAATAAAAATGCTTATGTACTAGGGCTGTCCCACAAAGTTGTGGACAATCACTGTAAAAACAAGAAATTATAAATACACAAGCCAAAAATAACTTTAAATAAGTATATCTCCATCACTTGGAATTAAAATAAGAAACTTCCTTGTGTCACAATTTGCAACCAGTTTTTACTACTATGCTAAATATCTATGTGCCACCGTGAGAATTTGGTACCAGTTTTTACCCGTCAACAGAATTACGGTTATGTATCAGATTTTGCAACCAAGTTTTTCACTCTTCTGCAAAAGTACTAATGTGTCAAATTTAAGGACTGACTTTAAACCTACTGCAAACAATTTTTAACTCCACTCACAGTGAAAGGACCATATGTAATGTGTCGCAATGTACTAGCTTGTACATAAAGTTTTGACTCTACTGCAAATGTGCTGTACATGTCACAATGGACTTACACAAGAAATGAAAATATTTTGGTTTTCTTAGATTATCTAGGGGTACAAACAAACTTTTACAGTTACAGCTTCAAAAAAAGCACAACAGATTGACTAAATCTATTGTGAGCGGTAGTGTTCCATGAAGCTATAGAATCTAATGGTAGATTTTTTTTGTGGGGCATAACTTGTTAAAACCCACATTTGTCGATTTTCAGATAACAACTTCTGCAACCAGATTTTACTCCACTACACTAGTAAAATATATACAGAATATATCACCATTTGATACAAGTATGTTCTTGTCAACAAAATTACTATTATAACAATTGACAGTTTTTACCCTATTGCAAAAGTCCTATAATGTAATTAGATAACCAAGACTAGAGGTTATAAAACTTTTTCCTGAGTTCAATCTCAAATCACAGGATTTTCTTTGGTCAGTGTACATTCTGTGGCAGTTTCTGACCAATCAAATACCTGAGATAGAGAATCACTTAGACACATTTTTAATCCTACAGCAGGGATTATTACAATGTGCCACAATTTGTTACCAGATTTAACTGAACTATAAAAAGAACTATTAGTATAATAATGAGCGTCATTTTTTTGCAGCAGCAATTTGTCTTACAATTTGAAACCATTTCCCCACGCCTTCTTTCCAAGATCCTTAATTATTACCAGTAAAAATAAGTGTGCATGTAATTACCTGGCATGAACCTCTGTGCTTCCATTATTATACTTGCTACCTCTCTCCCACATACCATAATCTGGTGTTCTGTACGCTCTCTCTACATAGAATACCAGGTTCTGTACAAAGTTCACTTCATCCGTTGTGTATATTATCTTAAGTAAAAATTAATTAAAATTAATAAAATATTTTTCATTATTTCTTTCTTATCTATTCAAAGTTGGAATGGGGAATGAGATATTGGAACACAATATACAGCATAGAGGCTAGATATGTTAAAAGAGATCCACTGTGGTCAAAGCCTAAAACTCATACATGTGAACTCTCCCATTTTCAGCGGGAGACTCCCACTTTCAGTGGGAGAATTCCACTTTCTGCAACCATATTTTCAAAGATTTTTTTTTTAAAAAGAGGTGTTTTCACAAATTAAAGTTATCTTCCTCTTTTTGATGTCAGAACTTTCTTTTCTGTTTATTGCAAGTTCATGAAGAATGAAAATTAAAAAAAAAAAATTGCAATGAACACAAGTGATGCACTTAAAATGGAAAAAAGATCATACAGAAAACATTGTATTGGTTACTCTGAACTAATACTGAAAATTTATTTTCTGCAAGATTTTTATCCCCTTTATGAGTGAAAAACATTGCAATGCTTTTCATTTTTTGGTCATTCTGCACAATAAAAATGATTATTTAGGACAAAACAGACTTAAGAAATGATCTAAAATTTTACACACAAGCTTTTGGTTCAGACTTGGATATTTTTGGTCCAAAGTTCAGACCTATATCAAATGGTACACAAGCCTTGAAAAAATATTTCCAGTTCCTTCATGTCAAAATTCCTTTTAATTGTTAAATACAGAGAGAAATATAAAAAGGTTTTTAACTGTTTTGTTTTTGCCCAAGTGATCTGAGATCCAAATGGCAAGGTGGCCATAACTATACCAAAAATGATGACCAAATAACCAAACTGTGATATTATGTACCAGGGTCATTAATGAAGACAGTTCTGAAATAATAGACATTGCTGTACAAATGTAAGTAACAGTTGTGCCAAGAGCAAATTCTGTTAAGCAAATTTGATATGAAACAAGAGTAAGGCGATTTATTTTCAGTAGTGCAAACAGACGGACGGACAACACCATACAATAATACACCTTTAAGGTCATCTGGTGTATAAAAACAAAGCAAACAGTATAATTATCACCTGAAGTCCAGAAGTGATCATTTGTACCAGCATAATTAGATATAACCCAACTACATCAATCTGTAATAAAAAAGAAAAAACAAATTTGCCATTATGTTAAATAGGGGTGTCACGGTTAGAAAAAATTCTAACCATTTAAACAGCGACGTAATAACTGTGTTAAACATTTAACTGACCGTACTTATAAAATTCTTAAATTTTCAACGAACTTTGTTTCTTTATGACAAGATTTTGTTCATATTTTGTTGTACAATACATATCTGAATATGGAGTAACTAAGTAACTTTTTTCCGCTAGGGTCTACCATATCCCATCAGATCGGAAAAATACCTACCGGTAGTTAAGTACAACTAAAATATAAACAATTGTCATATCTTGTTATAAAAAAACTAAGGTAATACTTAGAATCAATAAATAACTTTTCCGTCACTAAGTCAAATACTAACCTCAGTTACCAGTCATTGAATTTTCTAACCGGTTTTTAGGTAAAAACCGACTGTACCCATTTAAACAGATAAACGTGACACTCCTAATGTTAAATAATTATACATGACTATATAATAATATACATGTTGATAAGAATATTATAACTAAGATTGACTGCGACTCTCATGATGTTTATGTTTATATATGGAAAATAAAGCAAATGGAATTATGGTGGACTAGTACATTACAAAATGGACGCATTCGACCATCAGCAGTGGCATAGACATACGTCCACCACTAATGTCACAATTTACGTTAGATAAAACAAACACAACAAGCAATTATCATAGTATTGCAAGCAATCCATAAGTCCCCTACCGGTAAGAACCCCTGGATCAACATTCTGAAGGGCCATTGGCCATTCACTAATGTTTCAATTTTTCTCTATTTTAAGTAAATTTGTTGGAAAAGTTCTTTAAAAGTGATCACAGGAAACAGTTTTAATGAACAGACAGACAGACGGACTGAAGGACACTCTAAAGTTAATATTTGAAACATCCCTGTTACCAAAATATAACATTTTTAAAAGCAAAATTCTTTAAAAAAGTAGATAACTTTTGAAATTAAAGATGCAATTTCATAAAAATTTTCAGCTCTTTTTTGACTAATCACAATATTGTTATATTTGCATGTTTTAAGCCTATTTGTTACCAAGGGCAACCATTTTTTTTTCTTTCAAAATAGGAAAAACAGATAAGACAAGCATAATCTCAAGACAGCATCTACCCATATGTCAAGTTTCATAAAAATATTTCAGTACTTTTTGAGTTATCACTGGATTCAGTTATGTGTAAAATTTGCCATATTTCAGTCTTATGAGTTGCAATATAGCAAACCAGAATTTTCAACATAGGAAAGAAAAGAAAAAGACGTGCTAATCTCCAGACTACATCACCCATATTTTCAAGTTTCATAAAATATTTTCCGTATCTTTTTGCGTTATCACTGGGATCCAATTTATGTGTAAAATTTTCATATTTTTCAGCCTATTTGTTGCCATAGGCACCAGAATTTTCAACATAGGAAAAAAGAAAAACGATGTGCATATTCTCAACTACTGCCATCTATCTATACGTATCAAGTTTTCATAAAAATATTTTCAGTACTTTTTCAAGTTATCGAGGGATCCAGTTTTGTGGACGGATGGACTGACGGACTGACAGACAGACAGACGGACGGACGTTCTCACAGGACAGTAATTATGTGGCTACTCTATTGTTCTCTCTATTGTTCTTTTTAGCCACACAAAAGAAAATAGCCACATAAAAGCATTACGGAATGAATGACATGAAAGAGAAAGAACAGTTACCTATTGTCCCTCTAGCCACATAATTACTCTCCTGCGAGTGCGGACAGACAGACAGACGGACGGAGGGTAAAACCTAAAGTCCCCTCCGGTAAACCGGTAGGGGACTAATAAACAGACAGGCAGAATTATTTTAGCAAACATTTTTTGTCTTAATCTCACTTGTTTCAAATCTTGTATAACTGTAATAATTAGTAATTTCATTCTAATGTACTATTAAAGCTTTCGCACTCAATAACTAATGAATAATTAGTATTTTTCACAATTTTGTTGATAAAAATTTCAGGGGGGATAAAAATTTGAAACCAAGGGCAAGTACATAGAGAGCTAAATCCTTTTGCCGGGCATTTTTCAATGACTGAATCTGACCCAATTCTAAAAACCATTTTGGTTTCTTTGTTAATTATTAATATAATCAAGTCAAAAAAAAATTGCGCTAAATACAAAAATTTGCTACCTGGTAAGTGTTCAAAACTCATTTATCCTTGTTGAGAAGGGTCCCTGTTTTTAGGGTCAAAAACTGTGTAAGGATGGTTCAGCCTCTGAAATTTCCCTTGAATTTTTCTACCTATTTTAATGAATTTAAATAAAGGTGTAATAATAATCAAACAATTATACATAAATTGATTGATATGTTTCCCTTGAAAGTATTGATTTATTCTATAAAAAGATTTTATATGGAGCTGTTTTAAAATTTTTCTTTTTTTTTTTCAGGCCTAACTTTGCAGGGGCTAAAGAGGGGGCAAACAAGTTAGCACTAACACTATTATCTTCAATAAAAAGCTCATTTTTTTCACAACCTTTAATTAACAGTTTGCATTCTTTTAAAAAATATATTGAAATATCATTTTTTTTTGTATTTAGAATGTTGGGCTTTTCTTTTTACATTTACACCTTTTGGGAAAAAATAAAAAGGCAAAACAGTCATGGGAAAATGAGAAATTCAGGGAACTTTGTATTCATTATGTTCAACATCCCAAAGAAAACTTTAAACTGTATATGTTATTTTTTATATTTATCTACAAATTTATGGACAATTTTTTGAGGGAACGATCTTCAGGCTTCGTCTCCATATATAAGTACCACCTTGTCAAAGACAAATTTTTTCTTAAAAACTATAAAATCACCTTGCGCTGGGCCCTTTTCCCCAAAATAAAAAATAAACCCCTATATTTTTTCTTGCAAAAATTGAGGTTTAAATATTTCCCTTTTTTACCTTGATATTGGGCAATCCGCTACAATAAAAGTGAAAATTAAATTTTTTATTCTTTAGGGTTATGTTTTGTCACAAACCCAAAACTGAGTTTTTATGTCCACTTTTCAGCGAAACCTTATGTGGAAACCCTATAACATTATTTTAGGGAGGGGCGGCACTAACCCAAACAACCTGCCGTTTCCCTAGGCTAAATGGGGGAAATTTCCCCCCTTACTGATGGGGGGAAAAGGGTTTGGGAGTAAAATTTAAACCCGTTTTGCTACAAACCAAAGATCATCCCTTTTAAATCTTTTTAAAATCCTAATTTTAAAATTTTTGTTAAATCAAACCTTTTTTAAAATCTCTCCCTTTAAATGGGAAAAAAACCAAATGACAATTCAAAAAGGTGCTTAAGACTTGTTACAAAAATTTATAAAACAAAAATATCAAATTTAGCAAAAAGCTATATGGTAGACAAAATTTCCTTTGACATTCTCAGTGGCATGACGTAAGAAAAAGGGGCATAACTTTTGTGAATGGTAATAAGAGTTATGGGAACCCTGTGGGCCCTTCCAAATCAAAATTCAAGGAGAAAAAATTTTGTTGAAAAATTTCAAATTTCCAAAACCCCTTTTTTTTTTTTTTGGTTACGTTTTGTTAAAGGGGAAAAAACCTTAAAATAAAGTGTGATTGAAAATAGCTCTTTCCCTTTTCTTTGAAAAAGTCAAACTCTAAAATGAAAACCAAATCAATTGCTGACTGTATTTATTTCTATAAGTTTCCAAATTCCTATATGCTTGTGAAAGGGCCCAGCAGCTGGTTGCGCAATAAATTGCCCGTCCCTGACTGAGTTCTGCAGGCTGTTCTGTGTATAAACCAATCTAGGAAACAACCAAGTGGTTACCACTCTGAATTGCTAATATTTGGCCGCTTTATCTGAAATAATAAAAAAAACAACATAAAAAGCCATGGGTAATTTGTTAGCCCCTGAAACAAATAAATATTTTTTTATAAGAAAAGGCAAACAAATTTATGGAACATTTAAATAATGCTTTTAGGTATGTAAATGTAATCATACATGAAGAAAGTTGAGAGCTAAATTTGAAATTACGTCCTGTCATAAAGTAGCAAATTAAACAAATAAGGATTTTGACTTCAATCCAAAAATACTAAATCACTTTAAAATATACCTACAATAAAAAAACAATGGTAATTGGGTTATTCCGAATGCGTAATTCTTAAAAACACTGAAAGTTACTACAACAAAAAATAAAAAGCTGTTGAAAAATAAGAATAAACTAATTTCTTGGCATAATGGGCCTTTAAATTTAGAAAGGAACACCCTTCTAGGGAATGTCAGCGTGATTAAATTTTGCCTCCTTTTAGAAATTTACCATCAACTGCAAATCTGAACAGATTTAACATCATCTTTGATACTAAAAACAAAAACAAGTGTATTTTTTTCACATTTTGGGTAAGTGGGGGGACCCTCAAATGAGAAAAAATGGTTTCATTAGCAGCATTTTGGGGTGGGAGTCAAAATCACCAGACTAGAAACAAAATTTACAAATCAATTTAATTTTCAAAATGATAAAACCAGCAGTAGCTATGTAAATTATAATCCATACTAATTACTGATTTCCCTAGTTTTAATCACTCAAAATAATTTAAGAGGTTTCTTTCTTTTTAAAATTTTAAGAGGAAAACTGTTTTTTATAATTGGGAAAAAATATCTACTTTTTTTCAGGTGGAAAAAGGCAAAATTCCCTAAACAAAATAGCTTAAAAATCAATGCAAACTATTGCCCAACCAGGCAAGGAGGGGTTATACAGAAATGACAAACTAAAGCTTACATTATTACTATCTGTGGCAACATCCCATGAGTGTGTTGAATAAGTGGTATAGATAATACAGTACAGTGAAACAACGAAACACGAATATAACATATCAAAAAAAGAAGTAATTAACAATTAAGGAATGCCTAATAAATGTATAATAAAAAATGGAATGAAAAGTTTTTGAATAATTACTATTCCAATTATGTTTACTGAGGTTTGGGCTTAATAGTTACTAACCAGA